AATCACCTGATGAAATGGACAACCCTTATTGGAGTAATAGCTCATGCATTATTAATAAGTTTTATAAGACAAGATATTTACATGAATGTGACATGCATGTTGCAAACACGAATAAAACAATCAGTGTAATTGAACTAAGCATCATCACCATCATCATCGGCATCAATGTCCTTCTTATCAGCATCATCATCGTCAGCATTTTCCTGCTCTTCTCCATTTTCGTCATCGCCATTCTCTTGCACAGGGTCAGCCTGTTCTTCTTGTTCATCATCAACTTCGTCAACATCTTTCATATCATCATCGCCATTTTCTTGATCTTTCTTTGGAGACCCAGATCTAGATCTTTCATCAGGTGACTTGGAGCGTGATTTGGAAGTGGCTTTTTTGTCTTTTGATGGAGATTTGGATGTTGAACGTGATCTGGAGTGTTTTGATCTGCGATGGGGTGATGATGAACGGCGGCGGCGTTTGGGAGATCTTGAGCGGGATCGAGAACGGCTAGAAGTAAGAAATAACATTCAGTAACCAAATGAATTTAGCATGAACTATTAGCTATGTAAGACACACATTAGAAAAGAGCTCAAAGTTTAGCCATCAACATGACAAAATGATACATTACAATTAGGATACTTACAAAAGCTTAACATTTACTAAAGCACAAAATAATAACAAACAGTACCTCTTGCGACGAGATCTTGGACTCCTACTTCTACTYCTGCTTCTGCTAGTTGATCGTCTAGTCTTAACTTTTTCCTGAAGCGATTAAGGTGATATTAAAGCAAACCTAGAAGTCAATAAATTTGGGCATCAACACTTACTATTTTAAGTTTAATGTGTCTTCCAAAGAACTCGGTGTCATCTAGTTTTTTCATGGCAGTTTTCATGTCATCTTTAGATGAGAACTCTACAACCCTGGAAACAAAAACACAGCAAACATATCAAATACAAAGTACCAAGTCTGTGAATATGGCAATTACAGTAGGAAAATACGAAGGCATAATGCTCACTCAAGCTTAATAATATACAGTTAACTCTCGCCTTATGGACACCACGCTATTACCGACACTACGCTATTACGGACACCACGCTATTACAGACACCACGCTATTACAGACACCACGCTATTACAGACACTAAGTGAAGTTCCCTCAAGTGTCTGTAATACCGAGAGTTCACTGTATGCTGCTAATACATTTAAAAAATTTAAGATTGCTTATTACAAAGATATGAGACTGAAAATAACTCCAGCTATGAYGAACTSTGWCTATWACAGACACTAAATTAKGGTCCCTGGGGTGTTTGTAATACMGAGAGTTCACTGTATGATGCTACTACATTTAAGAAATTAAGATAGCTTTTCTTAAGAAGGGCTAGAGAGTAATGGAGACAATAAGCATGTCATCACCCACAAAAGACAACAGGCTTATACAGTAACTCCTCAGTTAAACTGCTCTCTCTCCCCTGTGTGAATTGAAATGCTACACCAACTTACCCCTCTCCTTGTCTTCTCTTGTGGGCATCAGCAAATGTGACCTCCCCAGCTTTACTCATGTACTCTTTTAAATCCTGTAAAAGCATTATAACTTAGAAAAACAAGTATAATTATAACATAGTATCAATATAAAGAATAATGTTTAGAGCAGACAAGAAACTACAAAGTTGAAAGAGGGTATCCCAAGATGGCAGTGCAGTACAAACGTTTAAATAACACAAACTAAAATAACATACATTTTAATCATTCAAATAAAAAACATATTTTTAGAATCTCATTAACTAAAAACTTTAAAATTTTAATCTTTAGGAATTATTGTCCGGAGTTGACAGCTGCAGTCTTTACTTAGTTATGTAGCCAATTGGCTTTTTAAAAAACCGTTTATAACAACTGGGGGCTTCATCATCACTCACTCGCTCACTCACTCTTCTGTAATCAGGTCCTCTCAAATGCCCCTACTTACCTGTTGCTATGATTACAAAAACATATAAAGCAAAAGAATGTAAATAGAACTACATGTAGCTACAACAACCCAGTTAATTTGGGGAACCAAAGGCCAGGCTTTTATTGGTACCATGGGGGCTGGTTTGGTCAGCCGTGGATTCAGTATTGGTTTTTTGTTAGGCACAAATTTGGTTTTGGTTTGGAATCTAAGTACTACTGTTTGGAAAGGAAAGCAACTACTTCCAGCCATTGGCGTCACAGTATCTCATGATTGGTTGGTTGGAACAGAATCTGTTTATCGGAAATGGACAGGCAGATAGCTCTAGGAATGGCCTGAGACTGACAGACTGGCTAGGCCATGGGTGGTTTTCAAAGTGCTTACAGTGCTTTGGTGATCTAGAGATCAAGAGGTTGACAAGCTAAGTTACAGTGTAGTAACTGATGAAAACTTTTAGCAGCTATCTTTGTATCATACATCATGATCAAAGTTCAAATTCTCAATCAGATTTGACTAGTTCTGGAGGAGAATTCACATTTTGATCATGATTCAAGTGAATTGAAAATGAAAATGCACTGCAAACCTTGTTTCCCAATAAAAACTAAACTCAGCCTCTGTGAAGAACATAAACGGACAAAAAAACAACACCAAAACAGAACTGAATAAATACTGTATAAGCCAATTTTATCTTTTAAAGAATCGATGCATTGTAACACACAGTGAATGGCGTTCAAAAATTGTAAATTGGCTTATACTACAGGGCCTGATTAATCAGCAAATGGTGTACTATTTTCTAACATTAACAAAGCAGCCAAAGTCAGATGCCAATAATTATAGAGGCAACTTTTATGAAGTTAATGTCAGAAGTAATGCACATTATTGATCTTTTGAGCACCCTTACCCTGCATTTGAGCTGGAATACAAAGACGTATTACAACAAAAATTTCCATAGTTTCAATAAACAATTTTTAGAACTAGGAAGACTTAAATCAAATAACAAATTGATCAAAAAATGGCAACAAAATTAAGGTGATGATTTAGGTAAAGAAGCGTCAGTTTACCTGCCAATTGCAGCGTGAAGAGAGATTAGTAACAGCTAATCTATGCTCTGTTCTGACTGGTGGGGTTCTTCCTCTTCTTGGAGGATCCCTTCTGCTTGACCTGCTGCTACTACAAAGATAAAAAAAGTTATGTTATTATGTTTAAATGGAGGTAAGTAATCCTCAAAACAATAAAACGAATCTTGTTATTGCTTGTGAAAACAATGGACAAACAATAGATGCTCTTCCAAACAATGCAAACCTAGCCTRACAATAGATGKTCARTACTGAGGAAGAAATCTTAAAGAAGCTTGGAAGGGCCATGGATTACGAGGAAGGAGTCTCGCAAGCAAATCAGTGTAGCTTGGAGTTTTGAYTGACAGGAATAATTACAYATACRAGTAAATAYAAAAACATACCTGTATCCTGAGCTATCACGGCTGCGATATCCATAATCTACACTGCGAACAGGATTCCTAGCATGCTCCACTACAATTCTAAAACATCAAAAGTCATATTCAATGGGTGGCAAAGGAATATTGCGCAATAAAATGAAAAAAGACATAATCATGAATAATTGATGTGTAAAATACTATATTTAATAAACTTCGTTATTTGCTTGTAAGTATAAATGTTTCTATGCATAATAAAGTTTATTTGGACGAAAAGAATAATAATCATGAAGACCTAAAGAAGAGTGCCTAAATCCACTTTCAATTTCGACAAGGAAACGGAAAGGCAACACAATAGAATACARCTTTTGTTATACGGCACCTTTCTCCTAAAAGTTCTTTGCCATTTAAATCGTACACACAATCGTCTGCGTCTTTTGAATCTTCAAATTCCTAAAGAAWAGGGAAAAGGCTTTCAATGTCGACAAACGTGTAGTCGTTGCTTCGTTCGAGGATCAACTTACCACGAAGCCGTAGCCAAGTTTTATACTAATTTCACGATAATGGCCATATCCACGAATGAATTTCTCTAAATCTCTTTCTCTACAATCTCTTGGAAGTCTTCCAAAGTACACCCTAGTTCCACCACGCGACATTTTCAACTAAAAGAGTCAAGAAYGCTGAGCTYCCTCGATCTCCTTTGACAAAATGGCGTCGTTTAGAAATCAAAGTCCCGGATGAGCACGAGTTGGGCGCATAATCTTTGACGACAGCTATGGACCTACATATTTTGGACCATAACTCTAAAATTACAGCATAACTGCTTTCAAATCTTATAAAAGATTATCGATATCAGAACAAATCAGTGAAAAAATGTAAGACATAACGTATGCTATCGTCTTTGTGCTGAAAATACATGTAATATGGAAAAATATGAGTTCATTTTATGAAAATGCCGCGCCGCACCTTYGCAATATAGTGCCTATGTATTCGACGATTTTGTCAGTTTATGTCGCGTTGGAAAAACTAAAAAAACAAATTATTGTTGTCATTGAATCGCACAATTAATTATTTTGAGAAAAACAAATAAATTTGATGATAAAAGTACCCTTAGGAATCTTTCATGTTAATGTGTCACGCTTCAACCTCTTACTGGTGTTACCCTGGACCGTGACGAACGCCTGTCAAAATTTTACACTGCGCTCACAAGCACTATCAAAACTTGAACTTTCTGCTTGACTTAACGACCAAAAATGTCTCCAAGTAGAGTTTTGAACTGTACCGATCTCTCATGGTAAGGGATTTGATGCCGATGCCATTGATCGAGCGATGAAAAGGAGACGAAATGATCTCTATCTTGATGACTTGGGTTACCCATCGTCTCTATCAATCTGTCCCGTTTGCGGTGCTTCAGTGTCGAAAGAAAACATAGACCTACACGTACAGCAGCACTTTAGCCATCCTCAGCCTTCAACGTCTACAGCAACCAGTCATTGTGATTTAGAGGGTAAGCTTTCTTGTTATAAACACTATGATTACTTCTGGCAACCTCAAATAACATCAAACGTCAAATTTCAAAAATGACATTTTTTCATGTTTTTAAAACGAACTGGTGGCAATTTATTATTATCTTATTCCTATCCTCTTGTTCGTATTTCTAGTTCCTGGATTTTCTGATGCTGGAGACTTCAAGATCTGTACTTTTGGTCACTGTCAGCAGATCGGTAAAAGATCATTTAATTTGCTTTTACAGTCAAATGTAAATTATCAGTAAGAGTAGCTTCTTCTAAGTTTTTTTTCCTTGATCATTAATACATTTATTGGGCAAACTCTTCATTATGTATTCTGTGTGCTGGTAGAACATAGAATGTCTCTGTTTTTTTCCAAATTATTCAAACTGTATATACTGAGATTACTGTCATTCATAGATTTTGATCAGTCCAGTTGCTCTCATTGGCAATGATATTTCATATTTAAATTCTTGAAAGAACTGGACTCATTTTCCATTTGAGTTGAAAGCTGTTTTACTTTCAAAACGATCATGTCTATTAACCAAACTTTTCTTAATACTCTCCAATAAAAGTACTTGCAAATGAATTCATAGTAAAATGCATTATGGCAAAAYTTTTATGTTACCAGTTTTCTCAGCTGCACATTGCTGCTCACACCTGTTGCTTACCAGAAAACTGGTCAAATTTCAATGTTAACCTAACTGTTTTGACTTCTGAATTTAAAGAAATAAAAAAAATTGTTCACAAGTGTTCACAAGTATCTCAGTACAAAAATAGGAGAGAATTAAAGTCAGTAACTTTGATTACAGAGTTGRGTAGAGRRWTTCCAATGSTATATWAGAACTWCATCTTGCATTATKGTCAAATGGGGTCTACCATACAATCAACAAGAAACAAGCATATTCAATTCAGAAGCATGTATTAAATAATAAAATGCAGTTATACTTCTGTTATATAGTCTCAAGCACAGAGTGGGATGATCACCTCTTTGCACACAGCCTTGAGGAACAAGCTAACATTCTAAACACAACAGCAACAGTGACCTCTACAACAACACACCTTGACGACAGCCTATTGTCCCAGTTAGATCACAGTCTACATGGAATCCATAGCAACAGTCTCCATAGTGATGTATCAACACATACATCACTATTGACGTCAACAGATCAGGGACTTTCACAAGAGCTAGAACAACAAGAGATGGAGCGGCTTGAAAATCAGCCATCACAGTGGAATGATCACTTGCTTGCACAAGCACTGGAGAGTGAAGATAGAAAAGAACTAGAGGAACAAAGGGTCAAAGAAGAAGAAGAATTTAAGAAGCTGCAGGTAATATGTGAATTGATTGCAATGATGATGATGATGATTGTGATAGTGATGACAATGATAGTGATGATAATGATAGTGATGATAATGATAGTGATGATAATGGGGATAGTTAAGATGATAATGATGATATTGATGATGATGATGATAGAGATAATGGTGATAGTGATAGTAATGATGATAATGATGACAGTGATGAAGATGATGATGATATTGATGACCTTGAACCTCACAACCAAGTATTATCTGGTTTTAAATACCACAGGCTATGTATGGGATGAATTCAGTAGGTGGGTATGTCAGTCAATACAGTCGAAACTTAGAAAGAGATGTGAACAGAGGCAAGACTTCTGTAGGTGACTACTACGCCAGAAAAGCTGAGATGCTAAAAATACTGATGACTGACACAGACAGTGGAGAGTCCTGCACCAAAGGTAAGGTTTAGAAGTGAGTCGTTTAAGAAACTCCAGTCTTATACTTGAGGTACATAACATAGTAGTAACTGACACTAATGATTTTAAAGGGAAAATGCAGTGAGTGTTAATTGTCATCTTTCCTCAGGAATCATTCCTCAGCTTCACCATCGTTACAAGGCAGGTGTAAGTGGGACAAAGCAGGCGTGGTCATCATGTGACACTGATCACTATGCTAGTACCGTTGGCGATGCAGGATGGGGGTGTGGCTATAGAAACCTTCAGATGTTGATCTCCTCTCTCCTTAGAATTGACATCTACAGGCCTATGTTGTTCACTAGTAAGTCAAAATAGGAACAAGCTCTTTGGTATACTAGCTGCCTTTTAGAATTGACATCTACAGGCCTATGTTGTACACTAGTAAGTCAAAATAGGAACAAGCTCTTTGGTATACTAGCTGCCTTTTAGAATTGACATCTATAGGCCTATGTTGTACACTAGTAAGTTAAAATGAGAACAAGCTCTTTGGTATACTAGCTGCCTTTTAGAATTGACATCTACAGGCCTATGTTGTACACTAGTAAGTCAAAATGAGAACAAGTTCTTTGGTATACTAGCTGCCTTTTAGATACGCTAGATGATTAGAGAGGGTATTGCTTGACTAGCATAGCTTATATTGTACCCAATCTTAGGTAGTAGAGGCAATATATATGTATTGTTTTGCCTAACACCTTTTCTAATACACTATTGCATATTCATAGCTCTTTCATATGACTTATCCTTGAGGTAATCAGACAATAGAAACATGATGGAAGATTGCATCAGTGTTGACAATGCCCAAATCAAGAACAAAACTAGTAGTGATGTAACAGACATTATTTTATGCGGATGATAATGATGATACTGATTATTATGATGACAATGATGACAGTGATGATATAACATGTCAATATGATAGCAGTAGTTTATAACAATGAGTACTGTCATTATACTAACCTTAACCATCAATATTATGGAGATCATTCCAATATGCATGTGTGGTTTTCTAGTTGGAGAGAGTGTACCTTCCATCCCAAGGATACAGCAGCTTATTGAAGCAGGATGGAATACCGGTCAGTACTGTAATTATCCCAAATGATCCCTCAAATGATCCATAGAATAATCCCTAAATGATCCCTAGAATAATCCCTAAATGATCCCTAGAATAATCCCTAAATGATCCCTAGAAAAATCCCTAAAAATGATGTCAAACTGATTCTCAAATGATCCCTAGAATATCCCCTAAAATGATCCCTACAAAAATCCCTAAAAATGATGTCAAAGTGGTCCTCAAATGATCCCTCTAATGATCTCAAGTGATCTCCCTAAAAGAACGATCTCGATGTTATCCTCAAATGATCCCCAGAATAATCGCTAAAAATGATCCCTAAATTGATCTCAAGTGATCCCAAAACTTTCCAAGGTTGCGTCACTAAAAAAATAAGGTTGTGAATCACTTTGCTGTTGTGACAGGTTTTGACAAGCAAGGTGCTGAACAGCTGGCATGCAAGTTAGTTAACACAAGAAAATGGATTGGAGCAACAGAGATTGCAACTGCACTAAGATCACTAGGACTGAGGTAAATAAAATAATAATCATTAGCTTAATATTAATTATTGGGAGCCCTGTGTAGACACACATTTCAAAGGTGTGCAGCCATGTTGGTCTTGTAGAAACTAGTGTTTGTTAAACATGTGTCACTTTGTTTCGTTGTCAGGGCCAATATTATTGACTTTCATCGTGCTACAGGATGTGATGGTACTCATCCWGAGATGTTTTCCTGGATCAAACGATACTTCAGCAGTGGCGTCCCAGGATATCACAGTGGACTGACACTAGGACATAGTAATGGCGTCCTTAATCACACCACTAGACCTCCACTGTATCTTCAACATCAAGGTACTTACCCCTTTCCCTATGGGTATATTTTGCATACATACATATGAACCCCTCTTTTCTGGGTGAAATTTCGCTCTATACAAAACGTATTGTCCTGCACCCACTCCTGACTAACCCAGCTAGCTAAAAAGCCTAATTTCCCTACTATTAAGTATTCTAAGTTTACTTACCCATTTCGATTCCACTGGCTACTTTAGTTTAAAGAATCCCAACCAACCACAATATAGCGCACGCTTCTTTCTTACATAGAGCGGATTTCGTATGACTGTGCAAGGACACGGACACGGCACGGTCACGGAACCTCGCTTTCTACGATTCCAAATAAAAATAAAGATTTAACAATACATCACCGCTACGGCACGGTACGGTCACAGCGCGAAAGTACCGTTTTTTGCACAGTCATACGAAATGCTGCTCTAGAATACGTTAAATGCGTCAAGCATACAATTAGATTATAGATTGATAGTACTTGTGAGGTCCTTAGTTTAAGATTTTTCTGTCCAAACTGAAAGAATGGAAGACACCTAAAATGGCGCTTCGGCTCGCAAGGTACGGCGGTTGGTTGTGGATTCTTTAAGAAAAAAAAGCCATTTTGGAAAAGGTTATTGTCCTTAAAGGACGGAGTATCCACTATGCTATTATATAKTCGCGGCATAGTAACAATCTTTATACCAATATCTACAGGTCATAGTCGTCTTGTAATTGGCGTTGAAGAACATTGTGGAAAAGATGGAGGACTGTTTCTGTTGTTGTTTGATCCCTCGCATTCAACAAAACAAATGCACACCTTGCTTGACGATATACAATCAAGCAGCTCAGGTTTRCGACATCTTCGACGCTCACTSAAACAAATGCGATGTAAACAATACCAGATTGTATATGCKGATGGAATTATGGATGGAGCGGAGATGGAGAGAAGTAAAGTACTCGCVAGTACTCGAATTCCTTAGAGTCGTTTTGGTATTAAAAAGGATAGCAAGCTTTAGATTTGGCAATGAGTATGAAATTGAGTACGAGTGCGAGTTTTCAACGTTATGTATATCAGCGGTATTGACTTATGTTCTTGTATTTTATTATAAATAGTGAAACAATTGGGATCACAAATAACGCTTGTAACGCGTATTTTGTAACTCGTACTCGAACTCAATTTTGTACTCGTTGAAAAATCTGATACTTGTGAAGTAGGAATTTACAAACATTTGGCGTTGACGTTGGTATACCAATGCAACAATCYTTACACWTACTATTAACTGGACTGGATGGCAAAAATGGGACGAGTTTTTCTATCTTTAAACCGATAGTTACAAACTTTACTGAAAACATGCGTTACATCTATTGAATGGAACAGACGTGGTGCGTCACATCCGGTGTGTAAAGATACGTCATATCCGGTAAAATGAYGCGTCATATCCGATGACATGACATAACGTGACGTAGGATAACATTATGATAAATTGTATGTAAAATATTGTAGAGAATGTACAAAATACCATTGAAAAAAATTTATCCGCAAATATTCAATGTAACATATGTTAAATATCGTTGGAATTAAAAGTGATGAGCTTCCATTTGGTCTTGTCTTTTTTTAATCTTTAATTATTGTTGAAGTCTCTAGGATATCTTATAATCATCATCATTATTTGATAATAATAATTAATATTCATTTTGCATAATCATCGATTATTTTCAAGAATCATTACCTTAAGATGATTAATTTCGCTATGCAGTTTTAAATCAATTGAAAAATCAACAATTTTTAACAGAATTTCAATATGTAATAGGTCAACGATTGCTTATTATTATCTCCTTGGCAACCTGTCCAAACAATCAAGCAGTCAATCAATACTAGTTTAATGTCATGATTGTCCAATTTACCGAGCCAGAAGCTAATGTTTAAAACACTATCCTTTTTTCTGGCTTCCTGTATGAAGAAAGTATAGATTGCTAAGGAAAGTAATGATTACTTCACGTTATCAAGAAGCTACCTGTGTATTAATTTTTCCGACTACCCTTCGTGAGTTATACTAGGACTTTTCTTGGTTGAGAGCCTCTCATGCTCCTAAAATCGCAGACCGCCAGGCTCCTAAAATCGCAGACCGCCAGCAAGGCCCAAGCTACTCCTGTATATTATACTACTAAACTATATTGCTATATTAAGGTACAATCTCCACATGTCTGAGCAGCCTACTTTTAAAACTCATCTGGGCAACTCGTAGTTTTCAAGATTTGCTTGCTCAGACCATGCAGCGTGTCTAGCACCATCCATCTCTGTTGCTACATCATTTCCTTCCACGAGCCTATGCTGAGTTCCTCCGATTTCTGCGTTGCAATCTGGGCATCTGCTTTTCTGCATGGCCCCACCGCACTCACCAATGGCGTAGACATGTCCCTGAGGGCACTTAAACCAGTGACCTTTGCTTAGTCCTATGGCTTTTACAATAGCGACCTTTTCCTTGGGCGTTAGAGTGTTGATGGGGTATTTGGTACGTGCTTCCTGGACCATCTTAAGAAGAGAATCTAGCTCAGACTCCTCGATTCTTGCAATATTTGATAACGTGTCGACCATCTTCTCTAGCATTTCCTCGTGCTCAGGCTGGACGGGGATTTCGCGAGCTTGTAACTGTTGAAACTCAAAGCGGAGGTTATGAACCTCGAAGGATATTTTCTGGCGGGTGATCTCGACGTTGATGTCGTCAATCTCTCGTTGGTTGTTACAGCCGATAATTCTCTTGGTCGCTAGATGATTCAGAACTGAACATATTGAGAGAGAAGTTTTGAAAATATCGTGGGTGGCCGCCTCACTTGTATTGGCTTTCACCTTGTTTTTCAGTTCCTGGCATTGCGTCAACAGGCTAACTTTGTTTTCAAACATGACTTTTTCGTAGATGCTTTTAGATTGCTCAATTCTTTCCATCAAAGTTTGGCAGTCTCTCCTGTGTCTCTCATAAATTTCCATCTGAGGGATACCACGTTCATAATTGTCAAGTTTAGTGAGAATTTGGCTCACAGAGGAAGTTGGTTCTTGGGGTTTATGCTCTTCAAGTATTGTGGTCTTGACTTTTTCGATGTCTGCCAAACGTTCTTTGATTATTTTGCTGTAACGCATTGTTTTCATTATTGGAACCTTGCAAGCAGGACATGACTTAAATAAAAGGAAAAACTTCAAGTTACAAATCAATTGATACTGGTACAACAATGACATCAGCTGTCAGATAATTAGGCACCGTGGCAAAGCCGCGACATCACCTCCCGTTGGCTGAATAGAATGGAAAAAAATCTTTGCCAAAATCCCTCAAAATGCTTGAAATCACATTTCTCAGGATCCTAAAGTCAAACTTTTTCTGTGGAATATATGAGCCCGAACCCTATCGTTTCACTCGCATTCAGTGGGCGACGGATACAAGACAACATGCCCTCTTTCGTAAATTACTGGATCCGCCAAACCTAAAAAAACATTTCCACAGAGGAATTGAAAAGCCCAATTAAGGAAGTTGCACAATATGCACTTATAATGACCATATTAACATCATATAACTGTACACTACCTTAAGCTGCACAGCCTCTTGTACATTGTCAGTATCCATGTATTGGTCAAAAGCGCTGACTTCAAAGATATGGCTGCAATCCTCGAGACGGATAAAACGCGCATCTACTTCATCTTCAGTGAGAAAAATCTTTTTTATATCTTTTTCGTCGCATTTCACGCAGACACAAGACTCGCTACAAAGCCCTCTACACTTGTGTTGACATTTCAGAATTAGGTTCTTGCAGGGAACATCGCATCGAGGTCTATCACATATCTCACTGCATTTTTTACTGCACTTATAGTGCTTGCATTTCCATTCGCAAGCTTGATTGCAAGGTTTACACAACTCTCCGCATTTGTTACTACATACAGCGTGAGTGCACGAGTTCTGGCACGGTTTTGCACAAGGTGGGCAAGCAAAAGAGCAAGAACAGCTAGCGGTACACGCATGTGAACACACGAGTGTTCGCCCGCATTTCTTTTTGCAGCTTCTGTGCACACGTCCTTGCAGGCACTCTCCACACTTTCCAGAACATTCGTGACCACAACTCGGACTACAATTACCTCTGCAGATAAGGGGTGTGGCACTGCACGCTGCTGTGACAATATGTCCGCATGGCCAATCTTCGTGCTTGACCAGCTCCTTGCAATCCAATGTGCAAGGCTCACCGCAGCGGGCCTGGCACTGATGTCCACACTTCAGATTTTTGTCACATCTTTCATCGCACTTCATACCTTGCACTGGAGACCTACAGAGGACGTCCTGTTTGGTATGCCCACACTGAAGTTGCTTTTGTACTCTCTCATGACACTGGTCTTCACATTTTTTCCAGCATAAATTATCACATCTGTGGTCGCAGCCAATTCTTGTTCTGTTACATGGTTCCACACATCTGTGTTTAAAGCAAAGGCCACACTTAGAAGAGTAACGACCACGTAATTACAAAACATAAAAAGGGAAAAAAAAACAACAATAGAAACTCAGAAGAAAAGCAGACAGCCGGCCAAAAGAATTACTTGCAATCAAATAAGATAAGAAGAAAACTAGAAGAAAAGGAGGGAAAGACGAAGTTAGTTTAATTTGCCTTCAGTGTTTAGCTCTGTGCATCAAAATGGTGGCTACATATACTATGTCAGTGATCATCATCCATGAAAAAAATTGAACCTGTACATAGTCACGATTGAGCTTGATAACGATGCAGGTATAGCCACGAGAATTGCCTATCATCGAGATGCGATGTAGTATAATGTTGTATACTTACTTGAAGTTCAAGTGTTTTGGATCTGAAGGATGGCAGTAAAGAGTGCAAGCATGGCCACATTCAAGTATAGATTTACATGGTTCCAAACAACCGCCAAGCGGTACTTTCTCGATAAATTCATCAGTCTCTTTTATCATTATCTGGAAAGCATCATAGCCAAAATTTCACTTAATACTAAATGGAGACACGACATATTACGCTGTGAAGCTGGGACAATATTGTAAAATTATGTCCACTCAATAAATTAACACAAAAAAAACTTCACAGGAAATTAGCAGCTCGAAAGATAGCTCACTTCCAAAAAATATACCGTACATTGAAGATCTCTGAAAATAAAATACTTGGGTTAATTAGCCCAAGAAAAGAAATCCTCAGTGCGCCAAAACCTTTCCGGGTTTTTATCCTAATGGTCTTCTCCTACAAGTGAAAAACCTATAATTAGCCCTCGAGGTCGAGTGGACTACGAGCTAATAGCCCATGAGGCCGAGTCCGCGAGGCCGAATGGGCTATTAGCTTATTAGCTCGTAGTCCACGAGCCCGAGGGTCTAATTGTTTTAGTATAAACATACTAATCGGTCAAATAATGAAAACAAATTGAAATATCCTTAAAATAATTTATTAATGAGATGCCGCCATTTTGATTTTCCCGCGAGTGGTCTATCACTTAGACCATTAGTAGAGTAGCCAATCACAGCGCAGTATGAGTGATAGACCATTAGTATGTTTATACTAAGAGTATATAGTCGGTATCTTTCAAGTTCACACAGACTGTTCTGTTATTGCTATAAACTAGCACGAAAGATAACTAGGAAAAAACAAAAAAATTACTCAAATAGTATTATAATTCTTCTTACCTCTGTCTTATGGACTGCACACACTAAAGGCAAAGCTTCTCCAACTTTATTACTCTCCTTTAAGGTGGAAACAACATTTTTCCAGATTTCGCTGGCTTTTGACAACATTTCAAAATTACCAATGACAAACAAGCCTTTACGAGCACGTGACAATGCAACGCATGCGCGGTTGATGTCATTGACAAACCCGGCACGATTCTCGTTGTTACTCCTCACGAGGGACAGAAGAATRATGTCACTTTCTTCTCCCTGGTAATTATCGATAGTTGAAGTACGAACCTGAGAATTAAAAGGAATTTGTATGAATGCTTTGGGATAAATGGTATGGCGAATCTTGTTTCAATTTTTGGAAGTAAAGAAAAACAGTTATACTATATTCGGCTTCAGTTTCGTTTCTGCGCAGAAAGCATTTTATATACTGAATACTGTGATATAACGACATGCAGTGATGATCGCCGTGCCATCTCTTTACAGTGAAGATCATGGAAAGCACATATGAGTTATAGGACTGTCCTTTTGTCTCCCGTGGAGTCCAATTTGAGCAATGCATTTCAGTATTTTAACTGTCAAGTGATCTACGTCAGTTATATTATATTACTATACCTCGTTTAATTCTTCTTCTGTCAAGTGATCTCTAATTTTAAACATCTGGCCAAGATATGGTGTTAGAATAGTTATGTCGGATGTTTTATAGTCCTGCTGGATCAGATAGCGACACAGTTTTGTCAAAAACTTTGCCTCATGTTCGTTGAAGCTGCTATTAGTATCTTCGCTTAGCTCTTCCGGATATCTGCAATAAAAAAAGTAATGGCCTGTTGCTGAACGCAAGTATTTTGACATTTTTTTAAATGAAGAAACTCCTTTAGAATCCAAGTACAACAAAAAACAAGAAATTATTATTTTGATATTAATGTTGGGTTTATCATTTCAATTTGCAAACACGTACCTGTGATCAACGAAAAAAAGGTTGTACTTGATGCCCTGGATGTCTTTGAATTCGTTAACTGAAGGATGGTTCTGTAAATCCTTGTAGATGTGTGTCATGAGTGACGCTATTTCTGGTCGCATTCGATGCTGTTCCTAGTGTTAATATTGAAAGCAAAAATGATACAATTAACTTCATACAATTTCAAAGAAAGAAAGCCATTTGCGCTGGAAGTACGGCGCAGGATTTGTTATTAGAAGCATATAAACTAGAAAAAAATAGCTCGTGCTTGTCGAAATTTGTCCTTAATTATTCTAAGCAGACCTTTTTTTCCATGGGAGGGGCGCATACACGCTGTGCTATTCCTCGCTACGGCACTGATATGTAGTGAATGATACTTACGGAAAGTCTCTCACATGGCATACCAAGATTCACCAAACGTTCAAACATTGAGATATTCAACTTGTATTTCTTTGCCAACTCGTAAACGGTACAATTCGGCCTGAGCTGTTGATGATCACCAATCAGAATCAAATGCTCACAGCCGAATGGAATGGACGTCAGAATGTGAGCCTCAAGTACCTCAGCGGCTTCTTCTACAAGGACAATCTTGGGAGAAATTCTTTGAAGGATTGCGTGGTATCTCGCCGCACATGTTGTTGTCATGGCAATGACTCGAGCATTCCGCATAATTTTCAAATCATCATCTTGCGAGATCTCGTAAAGTTTTTTCAGCTCAGTTTCATAGCCTTCATCTTGACTTTTGTAAATTTGATCCTGAAATTTCATTTCAATCCTGTGCCGCCATAAGCGGTAAAGATTCCAACGATCCCTCTGGTAAAGACGAAATATGTCCGTAGCGTGTCTTTCTTCTTGTTCGGTCATTACATCGCGTAAGCTAAGATAGTTTTTCAGCTCTTCGGGATTTTCAGTTTCATGTTGATAGCAAGCAATGGCACGAAGTTTCCGTTGCTGTAGAAATAGTTCTTCTTCATCATCGTGCAGATCTTCTCTTTCGTCAGAGATGAAAATGTCTTCGTCTTCTTGGCGTCCGCACTCGGGTATGAATTGTCTGATTTGAAGCCACTCAAGTAGCAGTGAATTCAAATCCTTCCATTTTTTGTGTTCCTCGAAATACAGGTTGAAAGATCTGAAATGCACTTGGTCCATGACACGCCGCAAAATTTCCATGGAAAGAACCGATTTATTTCCAAGAGATATGAGTTTACTTGCTTCCTCTGGATGATGTTTATTGTCGAGCCTTCTGATTTCATCCAAAATGCGGTATTTCTCAGGTGATCTTTGTGATCTCCTTAACATCTTGAGATTAAACTGTTCCAGTTCTTTGACTCTAGAGCGACCTCCCACTCTAACGATACCTAGAATATGAAAAAGAACCACAGAGATTTATGAGCCTGCATCATATAATAATAGTCTCCTTCACGGTTACCTGCGCCATCTTGAAAGGTAGCCGAAGCGAGACAACCGTTGAGCGTGCAATGACAGAAACCTTCTTTCACAACTACATACAATTATTCACAGGTATCTATCATTGCATGCTCAAAGATCGTCTCGCTTCGATGTAAAGGCACGGCTACCTTTCAAGATGGCGCACGTAACCGTGAAGGAGACTATTAATGCTTAAATGTGAGTGTTCAGGAACTGAGCTTACATGCACAGCGAAGCTGGGGGGAGGTGGGTTGGGGCCTTAGCACCCCCAATAATTTGGCCACCATTTTGAAAACATTCGTCTGATTCATCTGTCGCTTCTCGAAAATTGTCCCGTCCAGATTTAGCTCTGCCCCCTCTCCCCCCCAATAAAAATTATGCTCCGCGGTGGCTGTGGCTTACGTCAATTGATTATGAATCACTAAGCAGAAAGTTTTTTATCTGTTACCATGTACCTGTCTTATTCCTTAGTCCCATGACAAACTGATCCAAGGCATGATTAGTGTATGCAACCATCAGTATAGGAGAATTATCTTTTCCTTTCCACAGCTTGGTGTTATCGAGAAGAACCTCGGCGATCTTTAGACCAACGTATGTCTTCCCAGTCCCAGGTGGTCCTTGGATGAGGGCAAAACGCTTAGTAAGAGCGAGCTGACATGCTCGGTATTGAGATTCGTCCAACCCCAGCATCTCTTTGGTTGGCCATTGGTCAAGCTGTGTGACTTGAACACGATACTTTTTTTTAGGTATCCTGGCGAATTCTTCTTCTTGGCGAATAATAGACTGAAAATTTACATGTTTTTCGATCTCCAAAGGTCGATTGTCCTCGGCTGAAGAAACTTCTTTTTCACATCCATTCTCGCGGTCGATGGAATCGTGAAAATTTGGGAGCTGCTCTTTTTTTGGAGTTTCCCCAGTGCATTCTTTGTGGGTGACTTTAGTACTAGCACTGTCCATTGCTGCGGATGTTTGTGGATGTTCCTGTGCCTCAGTAGCAGCATTTCCATTGAAAATTTGGGAAATGGTACTCTTGGAGTTTAAAGTTGACGATGGTTGTTCTTTGTCAGATTTACTAGGTATGGGTTTGTTTAAACACGACTGTAGCACCTTTCCAGCTCCTTCGACTGTACTATCAACAGTGGACTCGTTACTTGGAATGGCTTTGGAGAGTAGGCTCTCTGAGCTGTACGAAGGGCTCTTTGGACAGTAAGAAGGGCTCGCTGGTCTGTAAATTGGACTCACTGGACTGTATTTAGGGCTCGATGGACTGTATTTAGGGCTCGATGGACTGTATTTAGGGCTTGTTGGACTGTATTTAGGGCTCGTTGGACTGTATATAGGGCTCGTTGGACAGTATGTAGGGCTCTCTGGGCTGTACGAAGGGCTCTTTGGATAGTAAGAAGGGCTAGTTGGTCTGTAAATTGGAGGCACTGAGCTGTACGAAGGGCTCGTTGGACTGTATTTAGGGCTCGTTGGACTGTATTTAGGGCTCGATGGAATGTATTTAGGGCTTGTTGGACTGTATTTAGGGCTCGTTGGACTGTATATAGGGCTCGTTGGACAGTATGTAGGGCTCTCTGGGCTGTACGAAGGGCTCTTTGGACAGTAAGAAGGGCTAGTTGGTCTGTAAATTGGAGGCACTGGGCTGTACGAAGGGCTCGTTGGACTGTATATAGGGCTCGTTGGACAGTAGGTAGGGCTCTTTGGTCTGTAAATTGGGCTTCTTGGGGTGTACGAAGGGCTTGGTGAAGGGATATACACCGGAGTGTCTGGGGGGTTCTCTGTTTTTAGCAGAGATTTGCAGCTTTTGCCTTTTCCGAAAAGATATTTTGGTGGAGAGATTTTCTTTTCAACATGTACGATGTACTCTTTAAATGGAAGATTATCTTCGGTTATCTCCTGTAACGCAGACAAGTTGTGCCGGTAAGACTCGAAATATGCCTCGCTTTCTATCATTTGAAAACTGCATTTTGCCTCGATGAACCGACGCATGGCACCTTGGTCATAGTTTTCAAAGCGTATGTCGATCTCGCCATATAGGAGGTCTATGGGATCGCGATTCTCAACTGCTCCAAAGTACAAAGTATCAAACGAATCGTCGGACAAGCAGAGCAGAGCTCCATACTTCAGCCTTTTGGATTTCTTCCAGTTGATGCGCCCTAAGTTTCCTTCCTTAAGATTGATACGTACCCTGTAAACACCACCATTTCTATTGCACACTGGATTGAGAATTGTTACATCTTTGTAAACAAATACACCTCGTTTTTGACGTCTTTTCGTTTCTTGTGGCGCAGTAGCAGTACCATAACGTTTCTCTTTGCGCAATTGTATTATTCCATCTCTTAAAGTTTTGAGAAAGTCTTCTCTAAGAAGACGAAACTGGACGTCTAGATAGTGCTGCGCATCTGTATAGGCTTCATTTATGACATTCTCACGAACAAATGGTTTGTATCCTGGACGAAAATCTTCCTCAAGAGGAACGATACTGATTTGATGAAAGTCATTTGGGGGCGAGTCGCATTTCTTGTTTTGGCATTGTCTTACGCGATGGAGCAAATCATTTGCTGATTGGACACTCTTTAACGTTTCCTCGCTTACCGTGCCTTCTTGATGAAATTGCTTGGTAGCTTCATGAAGTTCAGACATAGGGATACTGTATTTTACCTTATCCTGTAGGCGGTGCAACAAAAATTCGAAAACTAGAATGATCTTCCTAATGATTTCTTCAGTATCTTCCAGGTTAAGTTCAGGTAATTTGGCTATGAAATCTTTGAAGTGGTAGCGCAGGAGTTTCTGGTGCGTCTTTTCTAAAATACAAATAGCTTGTGTTGGGCGATTTGCAGATTTACAAACAATTTCGAGGCTACGTACTACAAGTCTGAAAAGATCCACCCGGATTTCTTCTTCTGCATTCAACAATGATAGATATCTCTTTTCTATCTTGATAAGTTGTAACATGGCGTCCTCTTTGTTTTCCTGATCACAAATGCTCTTCAAATGGCCAAATCCGATCGGATCTTCCCTCTCTTTTCGTAGACTGCGACTTCTCACTTGAGATTTTGAACTTAAAAGGATTGGCTGATTTTTCGGAGGAGATCTTCTTTCAACCGACCTGTCATAACGAGGCTTTTTGGCAGAACTAATGTGTTCGTACTGAGCAGCAGAGCTATCGTGACGTGGTCTTTTACTGCTACCTGCTTTCTTTGGACTGGATTCTCCCTCACTTTTGCGTTGGCTGCTGCCTTTCCACTTTTCACGCCCAGTTCTCATTGAATGCGGTGACCTTGAATTATCTACTAATCTAGATAGAGGAGACTTCTTGTCAGCCTGAGTGGATTCAACAAGCTCTACTCTTCGTTTGTTACTTCTTCCGTCTAGATAGACTGTATGTGTCAAGCGTTCGCTTTCTGTTCGGGTTCGTTTACGGTGTTGGCGTTGATCTTGCTCATTTGTTCTTCGAGGGTAGGATGCACTTTGTCCTTGTTGTTTACCTCTTTGCTCTTTCTGTAAATGACCTTTCTCTGATTCACGTCCGAACTTTCCCTCGCCTTGCAAATGAGCAACACGTCTTCTCCTTTGATGTGCATTTGGCTTCTCCGTCTTTGGTTCATCTTTTTTCTTAATCATTTGTTCCGGTTTTTCGCCTTCATGGAAGCGTTCTGTATTTGCAATTGGGTCATCAAGCTCTTCGGAACTATCCACGATCTCTCCTTCCTCCATCTCTTCGTTTCCACAGGTTTCCCTTCACCTTCTCGCTAACTGACTTTGCTAATTCAACCAGACCAGCGACCCGACTTGACTGGAATACTTTGTGTGGACACTGTGTGTGGATCACTGATACCTATGGTAATAGTCAACTTTAGATATTTTGGTTCGATGACTATGTACAAAAGAACGTACACGAGGCTCCGGGGAAACAATGGATAATCTTGATTTATTCTTTTATTTCCCCGGCCTCGTCTGCAATTCTTTTGTGCATGGTCACTGAACCAAAATATCTAAAGTCGACTNGATTGACAATGAAAATTCACAGATCTTCAAAGTCAAGGCCAAGGAGCTTGGTGACAAGTTATTGCCAGCATTTAACACTCCAACAGGAATTCCTTGGGCAATGGTTAATTTTGTAAGGTGAGCCAACTGGGATCCTTCCATCCTTCCATYCTTCCATTCGTTCATTTATCCAGCCAGTCATTCATTTGTTCATTTCATTTATGCATGCATCYATCCTTCATCTAATCGCTTTATCCATTTTTTTTTATTTTGTGATGTCCTTTGCTTATTCATTTGTTTATTCTTTGTTTATACTTTGTATTCAATCTTTMACAGTGGTAGCGGCCATAACTGGGGATGGGCTTCAGGTGGCTGTTCTATCTTGGCTGAGTTTGGCACACTTCACCTAGAGTTTGTKTATTTGTCAAAGATAACTGGAAATCCTATCTATGCAAAAAAGGTAAAAATAATATGTGCAACAATTGAAAAAATAAAATAAAGGCATGTTTTATGCCTACAGACACCAAGATATTTAAAAAAATTCATTAAAAGCTAGAGCTTATTGTGTAACCTATCATATCATATCACAGGTCAACATTAATTTTTTATTGTGGTATAGGTTCACAGAGTACGAGAAGTACTTGATCAGATTCAAAAACCAAATGGATTATATCCYAATTATTTAAATCCTCGTAGTGGAGTTTGGGGATCACGTAAGTTTGCTGAATTGATTTTATACCATGATCCTTAATTTTTTTCTTTTGTTGTCTATTTATGTGTTTTGGTTCCGGGAAAAATGAGAGGAAGTCAGTGGAAATATTTTGTCAAAATTTCAGTTTGACTAGGTTTAAAAATGTTTGTGTGAACAGCTTTTTTTACATACTTTGACCACTCAAAACTGAGCTTTGTGGACATCATGTCTACAAGCTTATCCATTGTTAGTTTCTTTTAGGCTTATGTCTTAGTATTTATGTTGCATCAAACCAAAATGCTTTAGGTTGAACTTTCTTTAGAGTTACAAAGAACCATAAGATTCTAATAATTATTCATTATTCTTAATTAATCAATTCACAGAGCATGTCTCTCTTGGTGCACTTGGGGACAGCTTCTATGAATACCTAATCAAGTCATGGGTGATGTCTGGAAAAACAGACACAAAAGCAAAGAATATGTATGATAAAGCAGTTGAGGTAACTAGKAAATAAAGAAATTGAACTTTGATCGATCATTGCTGCATGTTTACAGATTTTGACACTTCAAAGTTCACTAAATTTATTGGAGTTTAAATAATCTTTAATTAGCAAAAGTAACTTGTTGGTTTTGTGTTCTTTGTCAAGGCAATCGAAAGAACATTAGTCCAGAGATCACAGAGATCAAACTTAACATATGTTGCAGAATACAAATATGGAAGACTTGAGCATAAAATGGACCATTTGGTAAGTTAACAAAACCTCTTTATCCCTGTATCTGTTCATTACTTCATCCATCCATTCATTCTTTTTCTCATTCTTTCATTTGGTCATCCACTTATTATTTGTTCATCCATTTTTGCACACCCACTAGCTCAGGCACTTCATTGTTCATTGAGTTCACTTTCCCATACATTCAATCCATTTATCCATTCTTTCACACATCCATCTTTCATTTCGTCTGTCCATCCGTCACTGATTAATTAATTTGTTTGCTTATCTACACTGTTTACAAGTATCCAGGCATTCAATATTATTATATTAAAATGATGGTTTGTGTTTTTAYCAGGCATGTTTCACTGCTGGTATGTTTGCTCTTGGTGCRAAAGACTCTAAAAATGAGAAACATTTCCTTGATCTTGGTGCTGGTTTAGCCAACACTTGTCATGAATCTTACAAAAGGACTGGTATGTAAAAGCAATAAAGAAATAATACAATTCTTAAAAAGATTGTCTTACTGAAATAATGATGTATACTTTTGATACAAAAATGTATGGATTATKTTTTAACACAGAAGTTTTAACATTTTGACATAGAAGAGGTATAATTAGGGACTTGAAAGCCCTGAAATTATAATGACTATGTCTCTTGAAGAAATTTCGACAAGCATTCTGACASTTTTGAAWATCAGACAGTGCTAGGCATTTATACYCTCAAACAGGGYCTCATGAATTGCTTTTGTTTTTTTYGTCAGCTACTGGGATTGGGCCAGAGTCTTTTAGATTTGAGGGAGGAGCAGAGGCTGTTGCCGTGAGACCAAATGAAATGTATTACATTTTACGTCCTGAAGTCATTGAAGGCTGGTTTTACATGTGGAGATTYACTCATGATAAYAAGTACAGAGACTGGGCCTGGGAGGCWGCTCAGGTACGYATCAATATTGMCAGCTTTCATGTCCGAGCAGGGTACAAGTTTTGAAATTGCACAAATTRGTGTGTGASCTACATTATCTGAAAGAGCAAATCTAAATCAATAAAAAGGCAAAGTTTGGTGGAAATCRAGTCAATATTTCAAAAATTATAGCCATTCAAAAACTCTTATTCATGTGTACATCTATAGATTGTGGGTGCTAGTAATGCTTTCTCCACAATCTATACTGTATTCTTTTGTAAATTTTATAGTTTGTCTTTATTTTTGATTTCTCTTTAGAATATTGAAAAGCACTGCAGAGTTGACGCTGGCTATAGTGGYATAAGAGATGTGACCTCATCCCAAGTCCGTCATGACGACGTCCAACAAAGCTTCTTTCTAGCGGAAACATTGAAATATCTATATTTAATATTTTCTGACGACAGTCTTTTGCCTYTAGATAAGTGGGTATTAAACACAGAAGCACATCCTCTGCCTGTCATAGGACGAGATGAGCTGCCTGGCGCAATGACATAGTKTTTTTTATAATTTATAAAGACCTCATTATCTCCAATTTCGGTTGCCGTCCTTTGAAGAAACTATGAGCCGTAAATAAGACAATACATCCATCATTGAAAATGTTATGGAATTTTATATTGTGAAATGTGAAGCAATTTGAAGAAGTTATCAATAAGAGAAAGTAATTTTATGGTATCATGCAAAGACGTGCTYTCCCCTTGACATCCCATAATTTCTTCAAGTTGGCCAGTCATATTACAGTAATACTAGAATCCCAAATACACATGAAAACAATCTGGAAAGTATAACAGACTGTAATTTAACTTTTTCTATGTTAAATTCCAGTAAAAGTAGTAAACTCTGACACGAATTGAGGTTTTAGACTTAAATTCACTGGATTAACAGAATTTTTATACGCATCTGCTGGATCAGGGTTTTTTTGATGCAGAAATGTACAGATTTCAAGGATTAGAATTTTGCCTTCAGATAAAACCAGGGAAATATGTAAATAAATTCTCCTGACTAAGAGATATTTCAAGGGTTTTAACATGAGCCCACGTAGCACATATATTTAATTATTATAGTTTAATGGACTTGAAACAAAAGGAGTATTTCAAGTTTATGAAAATCACTTCAACACAAATAAAAATCTKATAGACAAGATGTAATAGTTCAAATGAAATTATCTAGTTAATCACTACTAAGGTATTTCTTATAATGTAATATTTTGCCAAACTTGTTTTCTGTCTTGACTGTTAGAACTGAGAACATCTTTTACATTCTGACTGTATTTGAATTTTGGTGATAGATTGTGCACTAAATGCTTAGTGGTTATCATGACATATCTAGGAAACAGCCAATCACAAGAACTCTGGTAATGACCAATTATTAATACATGTAAAAACAACAATTGTAAAAAAAAACACACATTGTAATCGACTGATTTTTTACAGGAATCATTAGCTTCCCCTGTATAGCGCTTTCTGTGTCCTTTGGGATCCCTGTGTGCACAAAAAGCCCCTCGCMACCATTATTCCTAATGCAGGGAACCCAAACTATCAGAACACAGAGTTGRCTAGATTTGCTGTAGTAAGATCATAATTTTTTTAAGATAATAAACCAGTTAACAGATTCTTTGTGAATAAATATGTAGTAAAAGGAAGAAAAACTATAGGAATATATGTAAAAGTAAACAACAATTGCAAATAAAACATTAAGTACACAATGAAGGAACTTTAGTTTTGTCCTCTTGACACAACKTTGCTTTATTTGAACATACTTTAGTCTCTTGACACTTAACATGCAGTTCAACTTCAACTATTGTAATCTTGTGAAACCTTAGAAACCAGAACCGCAAAAACCTTGCTTTGTTTTGTCCTGCTTCACAGCAATTTTTTAAATTCAACTATCATTATTTCTACTATAGGATGGACTATGAGAATTTAGCTTTTGAAAAGTCCATTTCTGGATGTTGTTCCATGAACCTGAAAGATGAGCAAACAAGATAAATTTTCCATAATGTTTTCCCCCCCATCCTTCATTGAAACATTGGAATGGAACTTACTTTTTCAAGACRTCTTGTTTCTTTTGTTCATCTGATGTGGGTAAACCCATCTGGTAAAATAAAGGAAACAGTTCACCAATAACCCAGAAAACAACAAAATGATTTCAATAGAGATGCAAATTTCATTAATTAACTATTCAGATTGAAACATTAAAACAACTTACAACAAGAAACTAGTAACAAACCTGTTTTTGTCTCTGGTCATACATCATTTTTTCCACCATACCTCTAGTTTCATCATCTAAATCTCCCAACTAAATAAAAAATATTTCCATTGTTACTTGACAAATATTTCTATACAAACTGGTAAAATGATTATACTATTATTATATAAGCATGAAAGTATGATTAACAATCTAAAACTGCAATGTTACTGGAACACAAATGCATGAAAATATAGGATTGTTGATTGAAGAATAGGTATTAAAATCTACCAAGTGTTTSAGTTTGCAAAAAKGGCTMTRTTGTGAGATATTACACCATACCTTGGAATTCTCAGGTTGTACTTTTTTGGTGTTTATYTCAGGGTCTGTAGTAACAAGCTGAGACCACCATTCCATTTTATTTACCTTGAATAACAAAACAAATCATAAATCAAAAACTAAAAAAATTCAAAAAAATATTCAATGCTGCATATCTACCTTTTCTATGCATATTGTGAGCGTTTTAYCGTCAAGTGTCCACGTGCACTCTTCAATTTTAACCTAGTAAACAAAATGAAAAACACAAAAATATCAAACAACACTTMTTCTCTCTCTGCTCTTGGGCTTCCTGTGTATAAATCAGGAAGAATGGAGCAAGAGGGGTTAATCCTGTTCCTAGTCCTTGACAGTCACAATGGCATTACCAAGACCAAATGAGAAAAAAAAGTTGCTTAGATGAAAGAAGCTGAACTATATTATATTTATGAAATTGAATTAGTGCTTCGTGAAAAACATCATCTTCCCCGATGCTGTCGGCACCCTAGTGTAAGGCCGCATAATTTACCCACGATTTTTCTCGCAATAATAGACATAGTTAAAACTGTGAAAAACTATGAAACTGAATAATGAATAATCACATATGTAATATAAACTATAGTAATCTAATCTCCTAGGTCCAGGATCCCTTCCCGGCTGTCGAATTAATGATTTTAATTGTGATCAAAATCTGTCAATTATAATAATTTGGTCTACAGAAAGTTAATTTTGCTTGCCACTTACTTTTTTAGGGAATTCACCATCAATGATAGGAGGATGTCCTTTGAGTCCCACTTTTAAATGCTGAAAAAAGCAAATTAATACTTCAATATTAATTTTTAGGTGTTTTATATTTTTCACTGCTTTGGTCTTTCCATTGCATTTTACTTACAGTTTGTTGWATATCACAATTAATGTCTCTTCCTTTTGGTTTAAAATCTATATTTAAAGGTATTCTGACCTACAGGAAAAGTAAGGAAACATGAATAAATCTATTGTTAATTTTCTGAAACTATATAAGAATGTAAACATACCTCAATTTCTTGAAGGGTCTAAAAAAGAAATCAAATGAAAAAGTTCATACAGTTGGAATGAAATATAATTTTAAGTGGAAGAAGGAAAAATGAAATACAGTATAATAATGAACCATTAGCCTACTTGTGTCCATTTGTAGTTTGGCAAGTCAGCACCATTTCCAGCATTAGGTTTCATTTTTCCTTTTGAGTCTTCATCCTCATCTTCATCCTCGTCATCTTTTTCTGTCTTTCCATTTTCAGAGTCCTGATGAATGAATGAATCAATCAATCAATCAATCAACCAATCAATCAATCAATCAATCAATCAATCAATCAATCAATCAATCAATCAATCATCTAACTAACTAATCCACTAATCAATCAACAAACCAACTAACAAACAAACCATTCAATCAATCAATCAATCAACCAATCAATCAATCAATCATTCCATCAATCAATCATTCCATCAATCAATCATTCCATCACCTAACCAACCAGCTATGGCAGTACCTTGCTCTCTGTCTTCTCAACTGCTTCTTTCTTCTTCTTATCAGCTTCTTCTTGCTGTATTTTCTTAGCTTCTTCCTCTGTCACTTCTTGTATTTTAGGCTGTTGTTCTTCTGCAGCTTTCTTGGCAGCTTTTGCAGCTAGTATTGCCTCAGCTTCTTTCCTGTCTCTTTCTTTTTTCTGAAATGTGGAAATCATCAATCCTTTTTATATGATTATAAAGGAAAGGTTGGTTGTTGAATAGCTAGTTTACATGTGGTAGGATTTGGATTGATTTAGTTTAGCTATACTATGAGATACATCTTGAAAGAATATATGATACAAATAATCAATGTAATATTATACTCTTCAAGTAGTCAAAGGTAAGTATATCGTTTCCATTGTTTTATTCCTATTGCCAGGATCACTTACTAGCCTGGCTGCCAACTGTTCCAACTGCAATTATCACTAGTGCCAATGAATGTAATTATATTAAATGTATGAATGTATATGACACAAGAATGATTTTTTAATACAGTAAATTACTTATAAAAACTTACTCACATCTAAAGCTTTCTTTTCATACTCGTGTAGTTTTGTCATCACTATCTTCTCTGCAGAACCTCTTTGTGCGCCGACAAAAAAGTCTGTCTTTCTCTCCAAAAACCCAAAGAAATTATCAAGCAGCTAAAGTGAATAAAATAATAATATGCAAGCTAAAACACTGCATTGCAAGCCATCGAATCAATTTATTTAAAGCGTACAAACACGTGTGAATGCAAATGGAGGGCAAATGACACAAGTTTGACAAGTCAGCATTTTGCTGCATTATACCTCATGAATTCCACCCTCACATTGTTGTGCCATCGCCATAAGCATGCCATCGAATCGCTCCTGGTCAGGTCCACTCATTCTCAATCAAAATTCACGTAAAATCACTGTAAATTCTGGACAAAACAGCAAGAAAAGTCACGAAAAGTTCCTTCCTCTAATGGGGAAAACCGCTGATATTGTTCGCCGCAAAGGCTGTCGGTATATCTTACCCAAGAACACTTTTGCGGATGTTTAAGATGGCGGTGGATGCGGAAGTAAACAACGAAGTTTTGTGTTTTGACAATTTAGTGAATATTTTCTCCTATGTTTCACCAAAAGACCTSAACAGTGCGTCCAGCGTTTGCAGACTTTGGAAGGAAGCTGCAGAGACATCGAGCTTGTGGAAAAGACACTGTTTATCAAGATGGTCGTTTTGCAATCTCAACATTTCACCAGGTTCTGATAAACTCTCTGCCTCTGACTCTTGCCTATCTAGTAGTGCCTCCCTAGATTTTAATGGATTTATTTAATGTATGTAGTATTTAATTAGTCCTAATGATATGTTTTGACATTTAGGAGAAAAAACCTGGAAGAAATACTACATTKCACGCTATAAAGTCGACASAGGAGCAGCAAYAGGAAGACCAGGTCTAGACTACATGTGCAAGTCCCTGCGAGGTCACAAAGGTCTTGTCACTGATGTTTTATTCATCACTACCAATGACATCTATGATGAAAATATGATTGACAAATCAGCTCACCCAATTGTGGCAAGCTGCGGTCAGGATAAAAGTGTCGGTTTATGGAACACAAGAGAAGGAAAAGGTTTATGGAAGAAATCTGACGGCCATGATACATCAGTGTTATGTTTAGCTTTGATAAGAGCCAATGAATTGTTTGTGAGTGGCGACCAGGTTGGTGTGGYAAATCTATGGGATGTTGAAACCGGTGAACATAMAAGACTACAAGAAGACCACAGCAGTATTTCYAAGATAGTTTGTGGGTCAAACAATGAACTTTTTATAGCCTCTCGGTCAGGTGAGGTAAAGATTTGGGATATACGCGATACTACAAAGTCACAACAAACCATTCAAAGCCCTCTTCTTGCTATGAATTTGATGGCTSTGAAGGASCAGACCATAGTTTTGGGAGGAAGTGASAGTGTACTGAATTCCTCGCCAGGGCTTAAGGTATACGACCKCAGAAATCTTATGTCTGAAGGATTTCRAGCAAGGCAGCAAGACTTCCAACCTCCAAACAGTTCACTTAACCATCAAAGAGGCTCAGCAGCAACATGTTTTAAATGGGTACCCAATCAYCCMAATCAGCTCGCCGCTGGGTATAATGATGGTACAATACTCATATGGGATATTAAAACACTCCRAGAGGTATACTCCTTTAGACCGCATGTAGGAAGCGTTAGCGCCATTGCTACAGTTGCATCTAAAGTGATTTYCTCCGGAACTGAATGCTCYCTMTCAATATGGGATCTCCATGAGAGAAAATCTCTGGGTGCATTTGTCGACCATAATCTACAGATAACAGATATATATGCTGATGCATATAAAGTCATGTCATGCTCAAGGGATTTCTCTATTAGAGTATATTCTTGGGCGGACAAAAAGGGGAGTGATGGTACATTGGTTCGTACTTTAGACAGCAGATACACACTACTGGGTGGTTCTTTAGCGAGAGCTGGAAATGGTTTTGAGAAAATAGTATGTGATTATACCACMTGTGTTGGTATGGCTAATGATGTCATGAAAGCATACTCCTTTCAGGTGTAAGAACTTCAAATAGGCCATTTGCAATTTGTGTCGTAACTTTACTACAACTACAAGAGAGCCTTGCGCATTTTCAGATCGCATTTTCATTGTTATTCAGATTTTTAATCCCCTTGGAAGTTAAGAAAACAATTGGCACTAATTGCGTTACAAAAGAAAGTTGCAAAGCATTCTTTAGTTGTAGTAAATGACACCATAATGCAAATCGGCTATTGTCATACAGTATAATTAATCCTATACCTGTAAATAACTTTTTATATAATATCAAAGAGGCAAGATTTTGCTGTAACTCCGAGTTTCGTGCTACGCACTCATCAGACAGTATTTAAATAACTTTTTATGTAATTATTAAGAATAAATAAATGCAAAGAAATTAAATTGGGAATTCCCATTCCAGGCTATCAAACAGAAATATGAAAAAAAATTAAGGAAATATAAGTGAGATTRATAAAACATGTGGTACAAAATACAATTTATCATCTCATGTAAAAGATTTGATATGAATTATTCATGAAATTTGTTTGTGCTTTATATTATTTATWTTCTTATTCAAAATAGATAAATGAATAATTAATAAGGCTTTTTGGGGCTGCTAAAAAAAGGTTTTTGTGTACAGGCTCTACTGTTGTGATAAAGACAACAATTTAAATAGGCCTTTTCCATGAAATGGTCACATGGCACAAAATTCGCCATACTGGATGGCAAAAGAATGTAAACAAACTCAAGAACAAAAGGCACATAGCCTGTCAAGCTTGACTTTTCTTTGTTTTGAACATCCCAGTGGGTATTTTGCCAGTATTTTGCAGATTTTGTACCATGTGATTGTTTCATGTATAAAGCCTATTCCAAGAACCACAGGGTGCCAGGCTTGAGGCATGAAATCAGGATTAACAGACAATCAGCCAGGGGAAAAATGCCAGGAAATTTGTCCAACTGTGACAGAGTCTGTCTTTTGGTCAAGGGTTGTATGTCGAGGGTCGTATGTCAAGGGTAGTTGGTTGAGGGTCCAGTTTTTCTATGTTGAGGGTACAATATATCCACAGAACAATTAAAAGCAACGACATAGAAATAAAGCAGCCTTGATTTCAACCAAAAAATAAACTTCTTTACGAGAGCTATCTGTGCCATGTCACTCATCACTTCGTGTGTCTACTGAGGTCACTGTCATGCAATGAAATCCAAACCATCTGTTATCAAGATTTAACTGTGCCCTGTTTCATTCAGTAGATTTTTGCTCATTACGTAGAATATAGTAGACTATATTGCTGTATATGCTGTATACTAATTATTTTTGAATAATGGATGTCTTAGAAAAACATTAGACATGCATTATTTGAATAGGTGAATGTCATGTATCTGGCTGAGCTATGTCGCAATATTTGAATTATATTTCTTGTTAATGCAGGCATATTACCAAGTACTACCCTCGACCCTCGACCCTCGACCCTTGACCAAAAAAGACAGACCACAGGGTGCCAGGCTTGAAGCATGAAATCAGAAAGTGACAATCAGTCAGGGGACAAATGCCAGGAAATTTGTCCAAACTGTAACAAAATACATAAGTATCAAACTCCAAGGACCACAGGGTGCCAACTGTGACAGAGTCTGTCTTTTGGTCAAGGGTTGTATGTCGAGGGTCGTATGTCAAGGGTAGTTGGTTGAGGGTCCAGTTTTTTATGTTGAGGGTAGAATAAATCCACAGAACAATTAAAAGCAACCCCTTACCAGATTTTGTTATACAAAATGTATATTACTTTTGTACAAATAATATACAAAACTTCTAGATATTTGTATACATTTTGCATACAATGATTTATGAAGATGTATACATTTAGTATGCACAATTTGGGACTCATGTGTATACATTGTGTATACAAAAAAGCCTCAATTTGTATACATTTAGTATGCACAATTTGGGACTCATGTGTATACATTGTGTATACCTTGAGAGCATACAAAATCTATACATCAAAATGTGTGTATACATTTTGTATACAGTATTTCATCATCACAAAGGTAAAAGTTTGGAATACATACATGCAGTTATCCCTTTGTTACMTACCTTCATTTGGWCTATTATTTCATCCATGTGAATTAATTATATCAATATAAGAGTATAATTGCTATTCAAAAATGTACTGTGGCAAACCTTTATGTTTTCTTCTAATATGTTTATTTGTGAGCTAAAACAAAAATTAGACTATAAAATATTGTTGTGATACGTAGATGAAGGTAATACCAACCTTATGATATATATGGAAATACTAGCTACTGATATAGCACCAGTGAAAAAATCTAACCTTATATACATGTCTCATGTCTCTGATGCACTGGGAGGTATAGAGCATGTGAGTTCTTAGGTAAAGATATATTTATAATAATTAAATCCTAAGATTCTAGCATACTTGCATCCAGGATGAGTGAAAAATTATAATATATTACATTATTTGCTCAATGTTTTGTTATATATGTCGAATGCATGCAAAAGTAAAAATATGACTGGTATGATAATAGATATATTTTTCATAAGTTAAATATCCCAATATTATTAAAAAAGTTGTCCCAACCACAATGCATTTTGCATACCAGTGCTAATACATTTACAAAGTGTAAAAATAGTACATAAATTTTCAATATTCCTACACAATTTCAGCAGTTTGTAGAAATTTTGCTCTAGACATATTCTGCTGAAATCTAATTGTAAAGTACTACTTTTGATTTCAAAACCATACCCATACAGAAATTGTGGTATGTAACAGGTATGTTTCAAGGTATTTAATGACCATTTACATATACCTGTAACATATTTGATATATATACCAAAGAACATACCCACACAAAACAAAACATACCTTGAACATACCAATACATAATATATACCGTATACATTAAAAAGTGGTATGTAGAGGGTATGTTTTAGGTACTAAAACTGGTTTGATTTATTCATTGTCCTCATTTTCGATCTGAATCTGAATTGTTACTTGCTGTGTCTCTTGATATATATCACCAYTCTCCGGATCCTCTTAAATATTTTTGTTGTCTTCCTTTTTTCATCATTCCACTTGCTGATCTTTGAAGGTTTTTCCAGTTATTTCCATGGTCATTGCATGAGCAATGTCTTTTTGGGCAATTCTGCATGCCGTGCTACATATGCTGAAATTTAATTTTTTTTGTCAGTGTTCGAAAATTCAGATATTAAAAAAAATTAATTAAAATTATTTTTTTTGTCTCAGTAGTTGAACCCAAATTTATATACAATCATAATGTATCTTGAGGAGAGAATATTTTGTTTTTAAGCAAGGCAATATGCGACAAATATCCCGTCACTGCTAGACAGCAGTGGCCTGGAACAAAAAAGGACAGCGGTATTAAAATTCAGCAACACTACCGTTTGAGTACAATCATTTGAACGAATTTCGTAAAAGAAAGCGCTTTTAGCGGCTAAGACGACATATTCAAGATGCATTTCAAATAAGTAAAACTTTATTTATTATCGACTATTTTAATTTCGATAAATTAGACAACCTCTCGATCTTGAAGAACCGATTTATCAGCTTCAGAAGCTTTCATAATTTTAGTAGCACAATATATCCATCAATTATACCTAAACATTAACAGGTTTCTCTTAAATACATATTCTATATCTAATTTCGAAAAG